TGATACAAGAGTTCATTTCAGTTAATTACTTGTTATTTTGCTATGATGATAAAATATTTGTTTTGATCTAACATTCCTTTTTAACTATGTTTGATATATAGGAGGTGAAGTGCAGTTATAAAGACTACACACAGAAGGCCAAGCGGTTGTGTCACAAAACACTACAATGCAGTGGACGGTGATACTGAGGACTGTCATCATCACTGGAGTTCTATCAGTGATTGCAAAACATCTTGTCAGATTCTAGTACGTATCTTTATCACCGAGTACGAGACATTCACGTAGTCTGATATAATCACAGACATACACGTAGTCTGATATGATCACAGACATATACGTAGTCTGGTATGATCACAGACACACACGTAGTCTGATATGATCCCAGACACACACGTAGTCTGATATGATACTAGACACACATGTAGTCTCATATGATCCCAGAAATACACGTAGTCTGATATCATCACCGAGTCCCAGACATACACGTAGTCTGATATCATCACCGAGTCCAGACATACACGTAGTCTGATATGATCCCAGATGTACACGTAGTCTGATATGATCACAGAGTCCCAGACATACACGTAGTCTGATATGATCCTAGACGTACACGTAGTCTGATATGATCCCAGACATACACGTAGTCTGATATGATACTAGACACACACGTAGTCTCATATGATCCCAGAAATACACGTAGTCTGATATGATCACAGAGTCCTAGACATACACGTAGTCTGATATGATCCCAGACATACACGTAGTCTGATATGATTCCAGACATACACGTAGTCTGATATGATCCCAGACACACACGTAGTCTGATATGATCACAGACATACACATAGTCTATTATGATCACAGACATACACGTAGTCTTATATGATCACAGACATACACGTAGTCTGATATGATCTCAGACATACACGTAGTCTGATATGATCACAGACATACAAGTAGTCTGGTATGATCAGAGACATACACGTAGTCTGATATGATCACAGATACACACGTAGTCTGATATGATCACAGACATACACATAGTCTGGTATTATCACAGACATACACGTAGTCTGGTATTATCACAGACATACACGTAGTCTGATATGATCTCAGACACACACGTAGTCTGATATGATCACAGACACACACGTAGTCTGGTATGATCACAGACATACACGTAGTCTGGTATGATGCCAGACATACACATAGTCTGATATGATCCCAGACATACACGTAGTCTGATATGATCCCAGACACACACGTAGTCTGATATGATACTAGACACACATGTAGTCTCATATGATCCCAGAGGTACACGTAGTCTGATATGATCACAGAGTCCTAGACATACACGTAGTCTGATATGATCCCAGACATACACGTAGTCTGATATGATTCCAGACATACACGTAGTCTGATATGATCCCAGACACACACGTAGTCTGATATGATCACAGACATACACATAGTCTATTATCATCACAGACATACACGTAGTCTTATATGATCACAGACATACACGTAGTCTGATATGATCCCAGACATACACGTAGTCTGGTATGATCACAGACACACACGTAGTCTTATATGATCACAGACATACACGTAGTCTGACATGATCACAGACATACACGTAGTCTGACATGATCACAGACATACACGTAGTCTGATATGATCTCAGACATACACGTAGTCTGATATGATCACAGACATACACGTAGTCTGGTATGATCACAGACATACACGTAGTCTGATATGATCCCAGACACACACGTAGTCTGATATGATCACAGACACACACGTAGTCTGGTATGATCACAGACATACACGTAGTCTGGTATGATCACAGACACACACGTAGTCTTATATGATCACAGACATACACGTAGTCTGACATGATCACAGACATACACGTAGTCTGACATGATCACAGACATACACGTAGTCTGATATGATCACAGACATACACGTAGTCTGATGTGATCCCAGACATACACGTAGTCTGATATGATCACAGAGTCCCAGAGATACACGTAATCTGATATGATCCCAGACACACACGTAGTCTGATATGATCACAGACATACACGTAGCCGGATATGATCCCAGACATACACGTAGTCTGATATGATCCCAGACATACACGTAGTCTGATATGATCACAGATTCCCTGACATACACGTAGTCTGATATGATCACAGACATACACGTAGTCTGGTATGATCACAGACATACACGTAGTCTGGTATGATCACAGACTTACACGCAATCTGATGTGACCCCAGAAATACACGTAGTCTGATATGATCACAGACACACACGTAGTCTGATATGATCACAGACATACACGTAGTCTGATATGATCACAGACATACACGTAGTCTGATATGATCACAGACATACACGTAGTCTGATGTGATCCCAGACATACACGTAGTCTGATATGATCACAGAGTCCCAGAGATACACGTAATCTGATATGATCCCAGACACACACGTAGTCTGATATGATCACAGACACACACGTAGTCTGGTATGATCACAGACATACACGTAGTCTGATATGATCACAGACATACACGTAGTCTGATATGATCCCAGACATACACGTAATCTGATATGATCACAGACATACACGTAGTTTGATATGATCACAGACATACACGTAGTCTGATATGATCACAGAGTCCCAGAGATACACGTAATCTGATATGATCACAGACATACACGTAGTCTGATATGATCCCAGACATACACGTAGCCGGATATGATCCCAGACATACACGTAGCCGGATATGATCCCAGACATACACGTAGTCTGATATGATCCCAGACATACACGTAGTCTGATATGATCACAGACATACACGTAGTCTGATATGATACTAGACACACACGTAGTCTCATATGATCCCAGACATACACGTAGTCTGATATGATCACAGAGTCCTAGACATACACGTAGTCTGATATGATCCCAGACATACACGTAGTCTGATATGATTCCAGACATACACGTAGTCTGATATGATCACAGAGTCCCAGAGATACACGTAATCTGATATGATCCCAGACACACACGTAGTCTGATATGATCACAGACACACACGTAGTCTGGTATGATCACAGACATACACGTAGTCTGATATGATCACAGACATACACGTAGTTTGATATGATCACAGACATACACGTAGTCTGATATGATCACAGAGTCCCAGAGATACACGTAATCTGATATGATCACAGACATAAACGTAGTCTGATATGATCCCAGACATACACGTAGCCGGATATGATCCCAGACATACACGTAGTCTGATATGATCCCAGACATACACGTAGTCTAATATGATCACAGACATACACGTAGTCTGATATGATCACAGACATACACGATCCCAGACATACACGTAGTCTGATATGATCCCAGACATACATGTAGTCTGATATGATCACAGACATACACGATCCCAGACATACACGTAGTCTGATATGATCCCAGACATACACGTAGTCTGATATGATCCCAGACATACACGTAGTCTGATATGATCACAGACATACACGTAGTCTGATATGATCCCAGACGTACACGTAGTCTGATATCATCACAGAGTCCTAGACATACACGTATTCTGGTATGATCACAGACATACACGTAGTCTGATATGATCACAGACATACACGTAGTCTGGTATGATCACAGACATACACGTAGTCTGATATGATCACAGACATACACGTAGTCTGATATGATCCCAGATATACACGTAGTCTGATATGATCACAGACATACACGTAGTCTGATATGATCACAGACATACACGTAGTCTGATATGATCACAGACATACACGTAGTCTGATGTGATCCCAGACATACACGTAGTCTGATATGATCACAGAGTCCCAGAGATACACGTAATCTGATATGATCCCAGACACACACGTAGTCTGATATGATCACAGACACACACGTAGTCTGGTATGATCACAGACATACACGTAGTCTGATATGATCACAGACATACACGTAGTCTGATATGATCACAGACATACACGTAGTTTGATATGATCACAGACATACACGTAGTCTGATATGATCCCAGAGTCCCAGAGATACACGTAATCTGATATGATCACAGACATACACGTAGTCTGATATGATCCCAGACATACATGTAGCCGGATATGATCCCAGACATACACGTAGTCTGATATGATCCCAGACATACACGTAGTCTGATATGATCACAGACATACACGATCCCAGACATACACGTAGTCTGATATGATCCCAGACATACACGTAGCCGGATATGATCCCAGACATACACGTAGTCTGATATGATCCCAGACATACACGTAGTCTGATATGATCACAGACATACACGATCCCAGACATACACGTAGCCGGATATGATCACAGACATACACGTACTCTGATATGATCACAGACATACACGATCCCAGACATACACGTATTCTGATATGATATATACCTCTTTTTTATATTTCCTTGTCATTGGCCGTTACTTCTATATAATAACTATTCCGAGTATATATTGACTAAATTAGATTATCTTATCACAAGGACAATTGTATAAAGTTTACTTTATAATTCAATGCAAATGTGAATCGTCTGAGGTCCATTATTTTACTGGAATTAGAAGCATGTGGGTGTTTGAAAGAGACAGAATTTCAATACTGTACCATTTGTTTATAAACAACCCTGATATAGAACTTACTGGTTACATTACATGAAGACGCCTCTCTTTTTTTTGTTATGTATAAATATAAGATAGCGTCGTTTCTTTGTTATAACCGTATTCGTTTTCTTTTGCTTTTCAAGAGATAAACATTCTGTTGATGCTAATGTTTTGTATGGTTATGTAAACGATCCTTGTTTGTTTGTTTGTTTGTTTTTAGTTTCCTCATGCACTACGACAGGTATGATGTAATTGCTCGACATGGTCCTGGTCCATGTGTGTCCCTAGATGGCGCAGGTAAGTCACGTGGTGCGCGCCCCTGGTCCATGTGTGTCTCTAGAAGGCGCAGGTAAGTCACGTGATACGCGCCCCTGGTCCATGTTTTTCTGTAGAAGGCGCAGGTAAGTCACGTGGTAAGCCTCCCTGGTCCATGTGTATTTCTAGAAAGCGCAGGTAAGTCACGTGGTAAGCCTCCCTGGTCCATGTGTATTTCTAGAAAGCGCAGTTAAGTCACGTGGTACGCCCCCCTGGTCCATGTGCGTCTCTAGAAGGCGTAGGTAAGTCTGACAAATGTAATGTCATAAACACACACAAAAAGAAGAAAATGTAAAGACAAACTTCACAACCACCCCTTACAAGTTGTCATATATCTAGATAGAATACTACATGTAAAACGCTTGTAGTGTCGTCTGCGTTGTGTTACAGTATACACCTTACACGAAGTTCATGGTACATCACCAGCAAACACTTTTCTCTGTAGGGAGCCCTTGTCTCGTCGTAATAATAAACGATTATAATTAAAATCTACTTTGAATGTTTCCTCCTGTAAGGTTTATTTCTATCTTCCTTGACCTTAATCTAGTTACTGTGCACATATAAAGTGAGAAGAATTTATCAAAATATCTATGTATTTCAGATGGCGGATCCGAAGATCTAACCATACTACCTAGCGGTGTGACATTTATATCGTCTGTACGTATGTTTTATGAACTATCCAGTTACACTTCAATTGTTTTATCTTATAATGAGAAAATGTGTACTCGCCGTATCCATGGGCAAGATATCAACCAATAACTTTAATGATGATACACAGAGCAGAATAAGACCTGTGAAATCGATCTGGCAACGATATACATCTTTCACGAAAGTCGTGGTGTTGAGATCAAGCTCTAGAGTATGCGACATAAAAATGTCGAAGGTTTGGGAAGGAGCCTTGTTACTATCTGGAAATGGAAAATTGACACACCAAAATCTAAAACAGGCTTATTACATTTTTGTAAATACGGCTAATCTGCCACGATGTATGTGTATGTGCAGGCGCTTTAGGTAGCAGTGCCAGGAAATACTTTTTCATTCTATTTAAACATGTATATATTTATTTAACAGGGGTATTATCCCGATAAGCGTGGCCGTATTCTGATGTTGGATATGAATGACCCTTCACCAACAGTTACAGAGGCACAGATTACAGGGGCCAGTTTAGACAGGGATAATTTTAACCCCCACGGCCTGAGCTCTTGGACTAACCCACACACACGTATACACACCTCTCTGTGACGTCACTACATGTTTTTGTGGGTTTGCAGGTATTTACATCTCTCTGTGACGTCAATACACGTGTTTGTGGGTTTACAGGTATACACACCTCTCTGACATCAATACACGTGTTTGTAGGTTTACAGGTATAAACACCTCTCTGTGACGTCAATACACGTGTTTGTGGGTTTACAGATATACACACCTCTCTGTGACGTCAATACACGTGTTTGTGGGTTTACAGATATACACCTCTCTGTGACGTCAATACACGTGTTTGTGGGTTTACAGATATACACACCTCTCTGTGACGTCAATACACGTGTTTGTGGGTTTACAGATATACACACCTCTCTGTGACGTCAATACACGTGTTTGTGGGTTTACAGATATACACACCTCTCTGTGACGTCAATACACGTGTTTGTGGGTTTACAGATATACACACCTCTCTGTGACGTCAATACACGTGTTTGTGGGTTTACAGATATACACACCTCTCTGTGACGTCAATACACGTGTTTGTGGGTTTACAGATATACACACCTCTCTGTGACGTCAATACACGTGTTTGAGGGTTTACAGATATACACACCTCTCTGTGACGTCAATACACGTGTTTGTGGGTTTACAGATATACACACCTCTCTGTGACGTCAATACACGTGTTTGTGGGTTTACAGATATACACACCTCTCTGTGACGTCAATACACGTGTTTCTCTGAGGGTTTACAGATATACACACCTCTCTGTGACGTCAATACACGTGTTTGTGGGTTTACAGGTATACACACCTCTCTGTGACGTCAATACACGTGTTTGTGGGTTTACAGGTATACACACCTCTCTGTGACGTCAATACACGTGTTTGTGGGTTTACAGATATACACACCTCTCTGTGACGTCAATACACGTGTTTGAGGGTTTACAGATATACACACCTCTCTGTGACGTCAATACACGTGTTTGTGGGTTTACAGATATACACACCTCTCTGTGACGTCAATACACGTGTTTGTGGGTTTACAGGTATATACACCTCTCTGTGACGTCAATACACGTGTTTGTGGGTTTACAGGTATACACACCTCTCTGTGACGTCAATACACGTGTTTGTGGGTTTACAGATATACACACCTCTCTGTGACGTCAATACATGTGTTTGTGGGTTTACAGGTATACACAACTCTCTGTGACGTCAATACATGTGTTTGTGGGTTTACAGATTTGCTTTTTATTTCTTTGTTTGGTCTCTTTTATGTTTATTTTTGTTGTTGTTGTTGTTTTTGTTGTTGTTCAATTTAATTCCTTTAATCCAAATGCAAATAGCATATGGGAATACAAAATGATTATATATATAAATATTACCTTTCACTACAGCAAGATGGCGGAGAACATTGCAACATCATCAACATACATGTACCAATGGAAATATGCAGTGATTGCCAGTAGCATTAAGCTAGAAAATATACCATTTGATTAAATGTTAAGAAGAGACATTATTTCAGAAATAGCTTGAATTAAATGTTTACAGATATTTCTCAACTCTTCACAATTTTTCAGAACAATAGTTGCATTAATTTAAAGACAGACGGACGACGGAAATAATAGGGTTTAATATAATTGATTCTGAGCTCTTAGTAAACTGGACATAATGATATGAAATGAGTTTCATCCTCGATGTCCTTACTATTACAAAGAGGACAATACCTTTGGGCTCTGGAGATACCGTTAGATCTGCCCTATACTTAATGTATGGGACTGTAACCAATACTTACTGAGGATATTTGTATTTGGTGAGGTAAAACAGCACATCGTAATGATCAACACTGTATCTATACAAACGATATTTGACAGAATTTTCTAGAATGTTTCTTGCCTCATGAATAAAAATAATCTTTCACACGGTGGATATATAAGAACAATTGTTTTTTCAATAAATAAGAACGAATTCAAACAAACACCATAAAAATCTGTTCTACATAATTCCTGTTTCACTTGGTAAACACAATTAATTTTAGAATCACTTCTATTTTAATTTTATTCGACAAGCTCCTCGTAACAAGATCTCAAAATGCAATTTATTACTACTCAGTAGCTTTAACCAATACTTTATAATTGATATTTTACATTTTAATTGTAAAGGAAATCGGCCTAATTCAAAGTAAACCATAGAATTATTTACAAATCTTTTGAACTCCAAGAACTTCCTTCACAAACTGCAAATGCACTTTTTCAATTTGGGTTTCAGGACTGGATCCCCAGATTTCGGAAGCATATTTAAGCAAACAAGTAATATAAGTGTCGAATAATGACAACTTTGTTCCACAGTTTAACACAAAGTTTCTGAATTTTCTATTGTATAAAAACAAGCTATTCTGCCTTTGGTCACAATGTTATCTAATGCTAAGGTAAAAAACCATCAGAGTTGAACACTAGACCAAGCTTTTTAATTCCAATGTTCAGCGTACAAAAACAAGTGATCAAGCATATTCTGCAGATCAACTACGTCTTCAGAAAACAAGATCGTGTCGTCCGTATAAAAATTTTTGTAAAAAGGTTTAGCAACGGTAATTGATAACTCTGACAATTTGATATTGATAAGTTCGGACTCCATATCATTGATAACCAATGAAAATAAGATCGGAGCAACGATTATAGCGGTCGAAGCCGAGTAGAGAACAAGTGCTACTTGCAGTTAACACAGGGGAAATGTTGTTAACTGTCAATGAAGAGTACTGGAAATTTTCCAGTGACTGGGGAAATGCTGTTAACTTTCGATGAAGAGTTCTGGAAATTTTCCAGTGACTGGGGAAATGCTGTTAACTGTCAATGAAGAGTTCTGGAAATTTTCCAGTGACTGGGGAAATGTTAACTTTCGATGAAGAGTTCTGGAAATTTTCCAGTGACTGGGGAAATGTTGTTAACTTTCGATGAAGAGTACTGGAAATTTTCCAGTGACTGGGGAAATGCTGTTAACTTTCGATGAGGTGTTCTGGAAATTTTCCATTGACTGGGAAATGCTGTTAACTTTCGATGAAGAGTTCTGGAAATTTTCCAGTGACTGGGGAAATGCTGTTAACTTTCAATGAAGAGTTCTGGAAATTTTCCAGTGACTGGGGAAATGCTGTTAACTGTCATTGAAGAGTTCTGGAAATTTTCCAGTGACTGGGGAAATGCTGTTAACTTTCGATGAAGAGTTCTGGAAATTTTCCAGTGACTGGGGAAATGCTGTTAACTGTCAATGAAGAGTTCTGGAAATTTTCCAGTGACTGGGGAAATGCTGTTAACTGTCAATGAAGAGTTCTGGAAATTTTCCAGTGACTGGGGAAATGCTGTTAACTGTCGTTTTAGAGTTCTGGAAATTTTCCAGTGACTGGGGAAATGCTGTTAACTGTCAATGAAGAGTTCTGGAAATTTTCCAGTGACTGGGGAAATGCTGTTAACTTTCGATGAAGAGTTCTGGAAATTTTCCAGTGACTGGGGAAATGCTGTTAACTGTCAATGAAGAGTTCTGGAAATTTTCCAGTGACTGGGGAAATGCTGTTAACAGTCAATGAAGAGTTCTGGAAATTTTCCAGTGACTGGGGAAATGCTGTTAACTTTCGATGAAGAGTTCTGGAAATTTTCCATTGACTGGGGAAATGCTGTTAACTTTCGATGAAGAGGTCTGGAAATTTTCCAGTGACTGGGGAAATGCTGTTAACTTTCGATGAAGAGTTCTGGAAATTTTCCAGTGACTGGGGAAATGCTGTTAACTTTCGATGAAGAGTTCTGGAAATTTTCCAGTGACTGGGAAATGTTGTTAACTTTCGATGAAGAGTTCTGGAAATTTTCGAGTGTCTGGGGAAATGCTGTTAACTGTCAATGAAGAGTTCTGGAAATTTTCCAGTGACTGGGGAAATGCTGTTAACTTTCGATGAAGAGTTCTGGAAATTTTCCAGTGACTGGGGAAATGCTGTTAACTTTCGATGAAGAGTTCTGGAAATTTTCCAGTGACTGGGGAAATGCTGTTAACAGTCAATGAAGAGTTCTGGAAATTTTCCAGTGACTGGGGAAATGCTGTTAACTTTCGATGAAGAGTTCTGGAAATTTTCCAGTGACTGGGGAAATTTTCCAGTGAAATTTTCTGACTGGGAAATGTTGTTAACTTTCGATGAAGAGTTATGGAAATTTTAGAGTGTCTGGGGAAATGCTGTTAAATGTCAATGAAGAGTTCTGGAAATTTTCCAGTGACTGGGGAAATGCTGTTAACTGTCATTGAAGAGTTCTGGAAATTTTCCAGTGACTGGGGAAATGCTGTTAACTTTCGACTTTCTGGGAAATTTTCCAGTTGTTAACTTCCACTGTCAATGAAGAGTTCTGGAAATTTTCCAGTGACTGGGGAAATGCTGTTAACTTTCGTCAGAGTGAAATTTTCCAGTGACTGGAAATTTTCCAGTGACTGGGGAAATGCTGTTAACTTTCAATGAAGAGTTCTGGAAATTTTCCAGTGACTGGGAAATGTTGTTAACTTTGCGATGTCAATGAAGAGTTCTGGAAATTTTCCAGTGACTGGGGAAATGCTGTTAACTTTCGATGAAAATTTTCCAGTGACTGGGAAATGCTGTTAACTTTCGATGAAGAGTTCTGGAAATTTTCCAGTGACTGGGGAAATGCTGTTAACTTTCGATGAAGAGTTCTGGAAATTTTCCAGTGACTGGGGAAATGCTGTTAACTTTCGATGAAGAGTTCTGGAAATTTTCCAGTGAAATGCTGGGAAATGTTCGATGGGGAAGAGTTCTGGAAATTTTCTGACTGGGAAATGCTGTTAACTGTTCAATGAAGAGTTCTGGAAATTTTCCAGTGACTGGGGAAATGCTGTTAACTGTCGATGAAGAGTTCTGGAAATTTTCCAGTGACTGGGAAATGCTGTTAACTGTCAATGAAGAGTTCTGGAAATTTTCCAGTGACTGGGGAAATTTTCCAGTGACTGGGGAAATGCTGTTAACTGTTAACTTTCGATGAAGAGTTCTGGAAATTTTCCAGTGACTGGGGAAATGTTGTTAAAGAGTTCTGGAAATTTTCCAGTGTCCAGTGACTGGGGAAATGCTGTTAACTGGAAATTTTCCAGTGACTGGGGAAATGTTGTTAACTTTCGATGAAGAGTTCTGGAAATTTTCCAGTGACTGGGGAAATGCTGTTAACAGTCAATGAAGAGTACTGGAAATTTTCCAGTGACTGGGGAAATGTTGTTAACTTTCGATGAAGAGTACTGGAAATTTTCCAGTGACTGGGGAAATGCTGTTAACTTTCGATGAAGAGTTCTGGAAATTTTCCAGTGACTGGGGAAATGCTGTTAACTGTAAATTTTCCAGTGAAATGCTGTTAGTTTCTGGAAATTTTCCAGTGACTGGGGAAATGCTGTTAACATTCAATGAAGAGTTCTGGAAATTTTCCAGTGACTGGGGAAATGCTGTTAACTTGTCCAGTGATGAAGAGTTCTGGAAATTTTCCAGTGACTGGGGAAATGCTGTTAACTTTCAATTTCTGGAAATTTTCCAGTGACTGGGGAAATGCTTCTTTCGATGAAATTTTCCAGTGACTGGGGAAATGTTTAACTTTTAAGAGTTCTGGAAATTTTCCAGTGATGAAACTGTCAAGTTCTGGAAATTTTCCAGTGACTGGGGAAATGGTGTTAACTTTCGATGAAGAGTACTGGAAATTTTCCAGTGACTGGGGAAATGCTGTTAACTTTCGATGTTAAATTTTCCAGTGACTGGGGAAATGTGTTAACTTCGATGAGGTGTTCTGGAAATTTTCCATTGACTGGGAAATGCTGTTAACTTTCGATGAAGAGTTCTGGAAATTTTCCAGTGACTGGGAAATGTTGTTAACTTTCGATGAAGAGTTCTGGAAATTTTCCAGTGACTGGGGAAATGCTGTTAACTTTCGATGAAGAGTTCTGGAAATTTTCCAGTGACTGGGAAATGTTTTAAACTGTCAATGAAGAGTACTGGAAATTTTCCATTGACTGGGGAAATGCTGTTAACTTTCGATGAAGAGTTCTGGAAATTTTCCAGTGACTGGGGAAATGCTGTTAACTTTCGATGAAATTTTCCAGAGTTCTGGAAATTTTCCAGTGACTGGGGAAATGCTGTTAACTTTCGATGAAGAGTTCTGGAAATTTTCCAGTGACTGGGGAAATGCTGTTAACTGTCTGTTAACTGTCAATGAAGAGTTCTGGAAATTTTCCAGTGACTGGGGAAATGTTAACTTTCGATGAAGAGTTCTGGAAATTTTCGAGTGACTGGGGAAATGTTGTTAACTGTCAATAAAGAGTACTGGAAATTTTCCAGTGACTGGGGAAATGTTGTTAACTGTCAATAAAGAGTACTGGAAATTTTCCAGTGACTGGGGAAATGCTGTTAACTTTCGATGAAGAGTTCTGGAAATTTTCCAGTGACTGGGGAAATGCTGTTAACTTTCGATGAAGAGTTCTGGAAATTTTCCAGTGACTGGGGAAATGCTGTTAACTTTCGATGAAGAGTTCTGGAAATTTTCCAGTGACTGGGAAATGTGTTAACTTTCGTGACGAGTAAATTTTCCAGTGACTGGGAAATGTTGTTAACAGTCAATGAAGAGTACTGGAAATTTTCCAGTGACTGGGGAAATGTTGTTAACTGTCAATGAAGAGTACTGGAAATTTTCCAGTGACTGGGGAAATGTTGTTAACAGTCAATGAAGAGTACTGGAAATTTTCCAGTGACTGGGGAAATGCTGTTAACTTTCGATGAAGAGTTCTGGAAATTTTCCAGTGACTGGGGAAATGCTGTTAACTTTCGATGAAGAGTTCTGGAAATTTTCCAGTGACTGGGAAATGCTGTTAACTTTCGATGAAGAGTGGAAATTTTCCAGTGACTGGGAAATGTTTTAAACTGTCGATGAAGAGTTCTGGAAATTTTCCAGTGACTGGGGAAATGCTGTTAACTGTCAATGAAGAGTACTGGAAATTTTCCAGTGACTGGGGAAATGTTGTTAACAGTCAAATTTTCCAAGAAATGTACTTGAAATTTTTTTCCAGTGACTGGGGAAATGTTGTTAACAGTCAATGAAGAGTTCTGGAAATTTTCCAGTGACTGGGGAAATGCTGTTAACTTTCGATGAAGAGTTCTGGAAATTTTCCAGTGACTGGGGAAATGCTGTTAATTCTCAATGAAGAGTTCTGGAAATTTGCCATTGACTGTGGAAATGCTGTTAACTAGAATCACAGGAATAATAAAAAATAATATTGTCGTTATTCAGGAGAGATAACTCTGATGGTGATCAACCATTTCCCTGGCCAGGAGCGAGTGGAGGTGTTTCGGTACAACCGGAAATCAAGATCTCTAGAGCATAAAAAATCAGTGACAAACCAGTTACGGGGAATGTAAG